CCGGAAGACTCCAAATTAGAAAAATTGGTCAAGACGGCGGTTCGATTTGAGAGGGCGCGAGAAGCGTTAATTCGCGAGGAACGAACTCGCGAGAGGTCCAGAGTGCAATATAAAGGTGAGACGCTTGACAGTGATACAGAGGCATCGGACAAGGATGAGAGCAGCAGTGGGAGCAGCATTTCAGATGCTGAGACAGGCGCGAGAGTAGATGCAGGCTCTGAATCCGGTCGGTGGTTATCAAACGAAGACCGAAATCGGTTGATGGCAGAAGGAAGATGCTTCAGATGTACTGAAAAGGGGCATATAGGCCGAAATTGTCCCCAGGACAGCGGTTTAAGACCTTCTCAAATGTCGGTGGCGGCGGCGCGGTATCAATACTCTTCGGAGGATTCGGAACATTCGTCCGAGCATAACGGTCACGAGAGCACAACAGACGATGAGGATGAGAAAGAATATGCCGATGAGAGGGCTTATTTGCCCGAGGATGATGAATCAGGCGCGCGTCGCGCGCAGCAAGGAGAAGAAGGTTCATCGGGAGACGAGGACGGCAGCTTCGAGGAATCCGACGATGCTTGGTGAAGCGGATCACCCAAGAGCGGTCCTAGTCCGGAGCAGTGGTGTCTTCAGAGATGATCCCTATGGGATCCTCGAGGGCGAATGTAAGGATCCACCACGTGCTCGCGGCCCTGATCCGCAACTCCCGGCAACTCTCGGTTGCGGTTGAACCACGGTTCAACTTTCTCTCTGTGGTTCAGTCATATGTAGTCATTTCTTTATTCCTAGTCAGTAGGACTCATTAAGAGTCACGTAGAACGGGTCCGTACGATCCGTAGATAGTATAAATACTCACATTAGTTAGCAGTACAGTATTCTGATTTCAAAACACGTAGACTTTACCGACTCAACCCTGGTATCAAGTCTACACCAACGACATCAAGAGTCTCTGTGGATACGACTTTCCGACCAGGAAACTCCGTACCTCACAACTTGCACGCAGGCTGGTTCGATTCCAGCTGGAGTCTTGGGAAGGAGCACGTCGAATTATTTTTCTCGCCGTTGACCTGCATGAAATTGTTGAATTCCTCGAGGCGGGGAGAGTTTGTTTGAGAGTGTCACTCCGTAGTGAATCCCACTAAGCACGTGAATACGTTCATATGGGCAGGGATCGCACTAAGCTGGTTCGATTCCCGCCGGAGTCTTGAAAGTGATGTGTAATATTTTTTCTCGCTGTTGACTTGCGAAATTGTTGAATTACTCGAGTTTTGGCGGAGTCGCCGGTCGGCGTCGAGGATAATTTAGGATTTCTAGTACTAGTCATGGAGAATCACCCGAGTGGTGCGTGGCAAGCGCAGGCAGTCTTATGACGTCGTGTTGGAATTACCCCTAGGGAGGCAAGTTGGAGGCAAGAGTAGAAGTTGCTGGTCACCGTCAACCCGCCGCATCCAAAGTCACGCTCGTCGAAAGGCGCGTGTACGTAACCATGGCGCAATTTCCTTATCCGGACACCCTCTCGAAAGTCAAAAATCCAAGCACGTCGAGAGTGGGCGGTTCGTTTCCATTCATCCGTCTCCGTCAATGATGGACCCGGGGTCTATGTACGCTACTCGTACGTACTGTCGATGCGAGTGAGTGAGTGAGTAAAAGAGATGAGTGAGATAAGTATGTAGATGCTAGACGCAATGATTTTGTGTTTGTAGGTAGGTAGGTAAGGGGAGGAGGGAGGAAGATTAGGCGGGGAGGTAGAGCGTAGAACGTCGTCGTGAGGAGGGAGGAGAGGAGGAGGGAGGAAGGAGGGGAGGGGAAGAGACGAGACGAGAGCAAGAGGAAGGCCTAGTATACAGGGCTCCCGCTGGCGCCGCCCGGCGGCCCATAGCCCCCACGGCCGCCTCTTTGCCCGCCTCCGCCCTGTTGCCCACCATAGCCTCCGCCTCCGCCGCCGCCGTAGCCCCCACCCCCGCCCTGCTGTCCGCCGTAGCCCCCACCCCCACCCTGCTGTCCGCCCCACCCACCTGGCGCGCCCCCACCCCCGTATCCCCCGCCCCGGCCCTGCCCGCCCCCGTATCCACCACCCGCATACCCGCCGCCGTTCCGCGGGGGCCCAAAGCCACCGCCGCCCTGCTGCTCGCCGGGTGCCCGCCAGCCGGGCGCAGGCGCGCCAAAGCCGGGGGGCTGCGTCCCCGCGAGGCGCGACATCTGCGGCTTGTTGATCGCGTACTCGAGGTTGAGCGTGCCAAAGGGCGTCATGGTGCCGCCGACGGCCTCCAGCGCCTGCGTCGCACGCTCGACGGTCTGGAACTCGACGAAGCCTGAGCCGGTGAGTTCGCCGGTGACGCTGGAGCGCACTGGGTGGGCGTGTTAGTGTGTGTTTTTTTCGAGAAAGGAGAAGGATACTCACGGAAATGCGCCTTCACGATGCTCCCCTCAAACTCTGCGAGCGCCGTCCTCAGCGTCTCCTCGTTCCCGCGGAAGTCGTAGAAATACAGCTTGTTGATCGGGGGGTTCGCCGCCGTCGGGCGCTCAGGCGCAAAGTCCACCCGGATATTGCGGTCGAGCATATACAGCGGCTCCTCCGCGAAGCTCTCGTACGCCGCCTTGGCGTCCTCGACACGCATGAACTCCACATGCGCAAAGCCGCGGAACTCGCCGCCGGGGCGCACGGCGAGGCGCACGCTCTTGAGCGGGCCGAAGGGCTCGAACTTTTCGCGTATGTCCGACTCCTCGGAGCCAAAGGGCATGTTGCCGACGAAGAGGACACGCCCGGGGGGGTTGCGACCCGCGGAGGGCGGGCCGAGGGCGGCGCCGGTGCTGGGGCGCGCGCCGGTGAGGTTGCTGGGGCGCACGGCGTAGTCGATGCGCACGGGGCGGTTGAAGATGTACAGCCCCGCCTCCACGCATGCGTCTGCCCCCCCCTGCTCTTGGAACGTCGCGTACCCGAACCCGCGGCTCGACCCGTCGGGGTTCACAACTGGGAGCGAAAGTCAGAGAAGAAATCGAAAGAAATGCAAAAAAAACTGACTGATCCGCACAGACTCGAGTTCGCCGAACGCTTGGAGGGAGGTGCGCAGGTCCTCTTCGGATGCCTCGAACGCAAGATTACCCAGGAAGAGCTGCCGACTCGGTGGGTTTTCTGAGACCAGCGCTGCCTGCGGTGCGGGCTGATCATAAAGTAGTCGTCGGGTCGTGGAGAGAGCGCGCAGGGAGAGGAGGGTTGTGGGGGTGGCGACGCGGGCGACGAGGGTGGGGGCCGCGCGGTGGACGGCGGCGACGAGCGCTATCCGCGTTTGCCTCCGGAGTGCGTTGACGAGCATTTTGTGGGAGATGGAAAAAAAGTCTCAAAGTTTGGTCGTGTTTGGTTTCGTCGATGTCGGCTTTCCGGGCCTGGAATCTGATCTTGACTCAATTTGAATTCAATCTCAACTTGACCCAAAAAATTGCGCCAAGTCTCTAAAACTCCAGACGTTGGTGAGGCGCCCAACGTGTTCCTCGATTTCACCTCAAAAAAAAAAACCAATTCTTTCGCATGTATTGACCGCGCTGGAATTGAACCAGCGTCACCCAAACTGCTGTCGTACGGTCGTCTGCTGTGCGCCAACTCAGGACAAGTCGTGGGCCGGGGAACCATCCCACCGAGTCCTCTCAACACCCTTCTCGGGCTGTCCTCGATGTCACAAGCAGAATTATTTAGTCTGGCAGACCAAAAACCATGTGGCCGATAATGATGTATGACCCGACCCAGAATCGAACTGGCTTTGTCCTGCTTCAGTAATATTTCTGTCCTACACCACTGATAACAGGTGCGGACCATCCGCCATCGAGTCGTTCCATGTACTAACCAGGGTGCAGATATTGGAGCTCAAAGTGGTGTGGTGCCTTGTTAGTCGAAGTTGAAAAAAGTATTCCTACCGCTATGTATATGACCCAACCCGGAATCGAACCGGTTCGTTCTGCTTCAAGTGGTATTAGTGCCCATGATGGAGAGCAGGTGCGGACCATCCGCTATCGAGTCGTTCCGTATTCTAACTGATGTGCAGATATTCGAGTTTTTGCGGTCAAGGTTGAAAAAAAAGTCCCAATATCGCCCCACTATGACCCGACCCGGAATCGAACCGGCTTCGTCCTGCTTCAGCACTATCTTAAAGTGTTACGGAGAGCAGGTGCGGACCATCCGCCATCGAGTCGTTCCACATACTAAATGGGGTGTAGATACCCGAGCTTTTGTGGTCAAAGTTGGGGGTGAAAAAATTCAGACACCGCTGTATGACCCAACCCGGAATCGAACCGGTTTCATCCTACTTCAGTAATGTTTCCTGAACGCCTACAGAGAGCAGGTGCGGACCATCCGCCATCGAGTCGTTCTACATACTAACCAGGGTGCAGATACCCGAGCTTTTGTGGTCAAAGTTGAGGGTCAAAAAGTTTTATCCACACCGCCATATGACCCAACCCGGAATCGAACCGGTTTCATCCTGCTTCCAATGATTTCCATACGGACCCCTGACTGAGAGCAGCTGCGGACCATCCGCCATCGAGTTAATCTATACTCTAACTGAAGTGCAGATATGCAAGCTCAAAATGGTATGATGATTTTCTAGTCAAAGTCAAACAAAAGGATGAAATTAAACGACATATGACCCGACCCGGAATCGAACCGGGTTGAACCTGCTTTCAACATAGTGGCTAGATGCCGTATGACGGAGAGCAGGTGCGGACCATCCGCCATCGAGTCGTTCTACGTACTAACCAGGGTGCAGATACCCGAGCTTTTGCGGTCAAAGTTGCAGGGAAAAATCTATAGCCACCACTATATGACTCGGCCCGGAATCGAACCGGTTTCATCCTGCTTCCAATGATTTCCATACGGACCCCTGACTGAGAGCAGCTGCGGACCATCCGCCATCGAGTTGTTCTATACTCTCACTGAAGTGCAGATATGCAAGCTCAAAATGGTATGGTGATTTTCTAGTCAAAGTCAAAACAAAAGGAAGAAATTTAACAACGTATGACCCGACCCGGAATCGAACCGGGTTGAACCTGCTTTCAACATAGTGGCTAGATGCCGTATGACGGAGAGCAGGTGCGGACCATCCGCTATCGAGTCGTTCTACATACTAACTGAGGCGTAGATACCTGAGTATTTGCGGTCAAGGTTGAGGGTCAAAAAGTTTTATCCACACCGCCATATGACCCAACCCGGAATCGAACCGGTTTCATCCTGCTTCCAATGATTTCCATACGGACCCCTAACTGAGAGCAGCTGCGGACCATCCGCCATCGAGTTGTTCTATGTATTAACTGAGGTGTAAATATCCAAGCTCAAAATAGTGTGGTGATTTTCTAGTCAAAGTCAAAACAAAAGGAGGAAATTAAACGATATATGACCCGACCCAGAATCGAGCCGGTTTCTTTCTGCTTTCAATTTCGACATACAAGAAAATCTCACAGACAGCAGGTGCGGACCATCCGCCATCGAGTTGTTCTATATACTAACTAGGGGGCAGATATCTGAGTTTTTGCGATCATGGTTGAGGGCAAAAAAGTTAGACAGACACCGTCATATGACCCAACCCGGAATCGAACCGGTTTCATTCTGCTTTCACTGATTTCGCGATGGACTTCACGGAGAGCAGGTGCGGACCATCGGCCCCAACGCCTCAAGCTAATCACCCGGCTCGGCACCGCGCGACTCTCCCTCAGACGCCTGCTCGCGACAAAGTCCGAGCACAAGGCCGTTCTCGAGTTCGTCCGCAACACCAAGCGCCTTCCGGGCTACCAGCTGTAAATACAGCCCGACCCGTACGATACATTTCTTCTCTTTCTCTCAGTTATCACGCACCCCATACTGAATCATGATATAACTTCATTACCTACTTCGTAGCCCCCGCTCGTTGCCCGATCACATTACACTCGTACCCTCATATGCCGCCCTCCTCGCCCGCTAGATACATCCACGTACATTGTATAGTCTTACATGGGCCCCAAGGGGCCCGCATAGACTCTAATGGAACAAAAATGAAAAATGAAATGACCATCCGCCATCGAGTCGTTCCATCCACTAACTAGGGTGCGATACCCAAGCTCAAAATAGTGTGGTGATTTTCTAGTCAAAGTCAAAACAAAAGGAAGAAATTTAACAACGTATGACCCGACCCGGAATCGAACCGGCTTCATCCTGCTTCAAGTTATCCTTGCATATCGCAAGGAAAGTAGGTGCAGACCATCCGCCATCGAGTCGTCCTATGTACTAACTAGGGTGCAGATACCCGAGTTTTTGTGGCCAAAGTTGGATGGAAAAACATTCAAATACAACAAATGACCCAACCCGGAATCAAACCGGTTTCATCCTACTTCATTAACTTACTTGAAAGCTCTATTGATAGCAGGTGCGGACCATCCGCCATCGAGTCGTTCCACATTCTAACTGAGGTGCAGATACCTGAGTTTTTTTGCGGTTACAGCCGTTTGCATAAGTCCGTGAAAACGTGTTTTTTTTTTTTTTTTGCTCACGTGCTTTGGGCCGAGATGCCCGAGCTTTCAAAATCTTTCATTTTCAGTTCCTCCCGCAATTAGAGTCCCCTCAGAGGTCATCTGGATGGAATAACTTAGGTATAATACCTTGACTTTGCTTCGGGACTATTTTCTGTCCGGCATGTAATGTGCAGCTGTTGAGTAGGCTCGCCTCGGTATCTCCTCGCAGTTATAAATTATGTTATAATTTTCTCCAGACATGAACATTTCATTCCTGTAGAGTTTGAAGCACACACAAACTTTTACTGCGCCGCCCCTGATGTGATTTACTCCCGGATCGTGCATGCCGTTGTCCACATCAAGGGTGTACATGGGACAACAACTCCTTTCAAAATGTTGTGGACATGGCCGAAAAAGTAGTGTTGTCATATCTCCTCCAGTATCCACTTGTAAATTTTCTAGTAAAAGCTTCAGTACATACCGGCAGATTCAGCATCCGGCGTACACTCGGCATGGCCCGGCATCGGCGGCAAACCACCCACCTGCATACCTGCAACTGCCTGGGCCAGAGCACCAACAGACATGGTTGCTGCATATTAATTTCATGGATACCTTGTGGTCGGCAGGCATTAGGGAAGAGGGAGATCACTGTTTTTAGATCAGCCGCATTCGGCAAATTCCACCATCTATGATCACCGTGCACCGGACATTTGAAAATGTTGTTTGGGCATAGTCAAGGCATAAGGGACTTCAGAGGAACTGCAAATGAAGGATTTCAAAACCCTCGGGCATCTCGGCCCAAGGCACGTGAGCAAAAAAAAAAAAAACGTGTTTTCACGGACTTATGCAAACGGCAGTAAAGCTGGGGGAAAAACACTACTTATGAACCGACCCGGTATCGAACCAGTTTCGTTCCGCTTCAGCAAATCACGGAGACACACTACCGATAACAGGTGCGGACCATCCGCCATCGAGTCGTTATATACACTAACTAGGGTGCAGATATGCAAACTCAAAATGGTATGGTGATTTTCTAGTCAAAGTCAAAACAAAAGGAGAAATTAAACCATGTATGACCCGACCCGGAATCGAACCGGCTTCATCCTGCTTCAGTAGTTTCGTGAACCGTTTACGGAGAGCAGGTGCAGACCACCCGCCATCAAGTTGTTCTACATACTAACTGAGGTGTAAATATGTGACTTTTTGTAGTCTAAGTGGTTGTAAAAAGGATTCCTGTCCTCAAATGACCCGACCTGGAATCGAACCGGTTTTGTACCGCTTCAGTAAATTCTTGCGATGCCGAACGATAACAGGTGGGGACCATCCGCCATCGAGTCGTTCTACATACTAACTAGGGTGCAGACACCTGAGTTTTTGCGTTCCAAGTTCAGGGTAAAAAAGTTAGTCAAACACAACAAATGACCCGACCCGGAATCGAACCGGCTTCATCCTGCTCTCATGTTTAAACACCACTCGTGGAGAACAAGTGCGGACCATCCGCCATCGATTCGTTCTACATAATGACTAGGGGGCAGATATCTGAGCTTTTTGCGGTCAAAATTGCGGGGAAAAGTCTGGCCACAACCTATGACTCGACCCGGAATCGAACCGGTTTCATCCTGCTTCAATTGCCTTCACCCAACCTCACAGAGAGGAGGTGCGGACCATCCGCCATCGAGTCGTTCCACATTTTAATTGAAGTGCAGATAGCTCAGTTTTTGCGGTCAAAGTCGAGGTTGAAAAAGTTAGTCAAACACAACATATGACCCGATCCGAGATCGAACCGGTTTTATCCTGCTTCAAACCGCGGAGAGGAGGTACAGAGAGCAGGCGCGGACCCTCCGCCATCGAGTCGTTCTACATACTAACTAGCACAGCGGTCGCCCATGACTTTTTAGGACCGAAACATAGACTGCAAACGTGTCTTCCTTTTTACCCATATTTTGGGAACCCACCCAAAGGGAAATCAAACTGATTGAATTTTGGGATCATTTTTGACTCCTAAATCCACACCGAAAACGAACACTGTTCGAGGCCTGAAACCTTCACCAAAATAAAACATATTTGCCTCCTTTTTCCTGAGGAAAAGTGTCATTTTGGGGTGCAAAACAAGTGAGTTCTCATTGTTCTTTCCCTGTTTTGAGCCCAAAGGGGAAGCCTTTTGTGACGGAAAAGTGACTGAACATATATTCTTTTGCCTGGGTGTTTGGTTCAGAAAGATGTTGCATGTTTGCCGACCTTTTGAACACAGAAAATAGGCCAAACAGCACTCGTTTTTTGTTCGTGTTTAGGTGTGAAACAAAAATAGACCCAAAAAGGGAGACATGTTTGCAACCCATGTTTCAGTCCCAAAAATGCATGGGCCGCCACAGTGTAGGGTGCAGATATGCAAACTCAAAATGGTATGGTGATTTTCTAGTCAAAGTCAAAACAAAAGGAGAAATGAAACCATGTATGACCCGACCCGGAATTGAACCGGCTTCATCCTGCTTCAGTAGTTTCGTGAACCGTTTACGGAGAGCAGGTGCAGACCATCCGCCATCAAGTCGTTCTACATAATAACTGAGGTGTAGATATGTGACTTTTTGTGGTCTAAGTGGTTGTAAAAAGGATTCTTGTCCTCAAATGACCTGACCTGGAATTGAACCGGTTTTGTACCGCTTCAGTAAATTCTTGCGATGCCGAACGATAACAGGTGCGGACCATCCGCCCTCGAGTCATTCTATATACAAATTGAGGTGCAGATCTTTGAGTTTTGCGGTCAAAGTCGGGGGGAAAAATGTATACCAGAACCCGACATATGAACCCGACCCGGAATTGAACCGGCTTTGTCCTGGTTCAGCAAGTATTTCAACAATTTTACAGAGAGCAGGTGCGGACCATCCGCTATCAAGTCGTTCCATACTCTAACTGAGGTGTTGATGTCTGAGCTTTTGCGGTCAAAGTAAGTTATTCAAACACATCGTATGACCCAATCCGGAATCGAACCGGCTTCACTTTGCTTCCACGGCAAGGCTCATTTACGGAGAGCAGGTGCGGACCATCCGCTATCGGGTTGTTCCAAATTCTCAATTCAAGTGCAGATGTTTGAGCTTTTGCGGTCTAAGTGGTTGTAATTCTATCCTCACATGACTCAACTTGGAGGTGAACCGATTTCGTCCTGCTTCAGTAATTTGTCCTGGACACCCACAGAGAGCAGGTGCAGACCATCCACTATCGAGTCGCTCCATATTCTAACTGACACTGGTTGGGGGATTCAAGTTTTTCACCGCAATTTATGGTGGAAAATGTTGTTTGTTTTTCAGACATTTTTCACTGAAAAAGTGGGTGGAAAATTCAAACATTTTTCACCACTTTTTGCCTTTCTTTTGAATTTTTCACCTCGAGCTCAAAAAATAGTGAAAATGATTTGAGTTTTTCACCTAATTTTTTGGTGAAAAATGTCTGAAAAACAAACAACATTTTTCACCATAAATTGTGCCGAAAAACTTGAATCCCCCAACCAGTGTGAGGTGCAGATACCCGATTTTTTTGCGGTCAAAGTTGCAGGAAAAAGGTGATCAAAGCCCTGACACATGACCTAACCCAGAATCGAACCGGCTTCATCCTGCTTCAGTGAGTTTCCTGACATTC